CCCCCCTCCCTCGCTGCGCACCGCAGCCCAAACCCAAACAACGGAGCATTTTCCAAGCATCGCTATCCAACAGATACAGGAGTGCCCCTCCCCGCCCTGCCCGACTAACTGCGCGCTGCGCCCGCTGCGCCTCTCCTCCCCCGGATTAATATTTGTCGGGATGCCACACGGGGCGACACGGTGGCCCCCTTCAAACAGACTGGCTGCACCCCCTCTGGCCGAGGCGAGGAGCAGCCGGACCCCGATCCCATCCGATAGCGGGCCGCTATCAGCGCCGGGCCGGGCGGGGGCGCGCGGGGGGTCGGGGCGGCTCTGCGCTCGTCTAGCCGACCACTAGATCGGACCGGACCGGACCGGGGCCGCGACAGGTGGCGGGGGCGTGCGCACCGCCGTGCTCAAACAAACGGTGAACAACAAGAGGCCGAGTGTCTAATCGAACAGGATGGCGTCCCGATCGGGACAGGGTCAGCCGGACAGGCAGCCGAGCGAGCAGCCGCGGGCGGTGGGCTGCCTACCCACCAGGGGCGCCGCGGGCGGTGGGCCGCCTACCTACCGGGCTGTCGCGGGCGGCATCTACCGAACTCACCGCGGCCAAGCACCGCGCCAGCGCGCCGCGAGGAAGCGGGCGGCTCGCGGGCGAGGCACTGTACACCACACCACCACGTACAGTCGGGGAGCAAAGTGCGGTGTACTCGCGGGTCGGTTTCGCAATAATGTGTTGTAGCTACTTGGTCGAAAACACACAAGTAACCCGGGACGCCACACCACACACAACCCAGGCCGCGGACGCGGGTCAGCAGGTCGCGCGCGGCCCGAGGACCGACGCACGCACTGGCCGCGGCAGTCGCGGCCCTTCCCTACGATAACACTTGCTTATTCGCGGCCCGCGAGCCTTATCGCCATTGTACTTGCGTGGGTCGGACGCGCAACCCGTGGCCCCCCGGGTGTCGCCGCCGTGTCGCCGCGGTGCGCGTCGTCTCCATGGCGGGGAGGCCGTCCTGGCCGAGGCCGCGGTGCGCGTCTTCCACACGACGGGGAGGCCGAGTCCACGGCCTGGGACATCGGAACATCCGCCCTGGCCAAGGGGCGCGGCACCACAGTGCACACACACCGACCGCGCGACCGACCCACCTCCGCTGTAGAGGACCGGGCCCGTCCACCGTCCGCGGTCGCCTCGACGGGGAACGGGCGCAACGCCACCGTGCAGCAGCGGAGCAGGCGGAGCGCACGCATCAGACTTGGTGATGATGACAGCGGGGCCTGCCTGACGTCAAGGACCGCACAACGAGCAGCCTCGGCAGTAAAGGTCTTCCCTCGGCGACCATAGGACCCCCCGACCCACGATCCGGTCTGGCCGGCCGACGGCGTCGTCTGCGCCGTCGCCGTTGTCGGGTCCAGAGTACGGCACACCCGACTCACCTCGTAGATGTACCACAAGGCGAACATGGTCCACGGCGAGCAGCTGCAGCGACGACCGTTTTCCCCCCGCGACTTTATCTGCGCGAGATGGTGCGCGAATATCCGACTCGCGGGCCGCGGGCGGAGACACTGGCGCGGCGACACCAACACCAACACACGCGGCGCGGCTCCCCGCGCGGCCCGCCCGCGACCACGTAACCGATCAACGCGATCCCCGGGGAGGGATTATCCCCGTAATCTCGCGGCCGTGCCGTCAGCGCGAGCGGGAGGGCAGGGCGGGGCCGCGCGGGGACGAGGACAACCTGTCCTGTAGGGCTCCCGGCCGCCGCGCGCACCGCTGCCCACTACCTGTCTACTAATTGGACTAGCGTCCTCGTGTCATGTGGACCAAGTCTTGACACCTCCGCCTCCAAGAGGAGGCGGCGCTCTCTGCGCTCTGCAGGGTATAGGCCTGGACGCCAACCTGTGCGGTCGATACCCCATGCCAGAGAGTCTCTATACGGGCCGCCAGGTAGTCACGCCGCCCCACACTCAGCTGGCCGGGGCTCTCAAGGTCACGAGGAAAGTACTGCACGCGCCGCTTATCACAAGACACGCGGGAGACTCGGAGACGCTCGGTACTCACAGTGGAATGCCTCCAGTACTTGATGAGGTCATGGATGTTGGTGCTCGGTGCGTACATCAAGTAGTCGCGCCACTCGTCAAAGCTGATGTTGAGACTGCCATCACGATCCATCCTAGAAACCAGGTGAAAATAATTATTCCTCAAGACTGGGTGCAACTTTCTACTGTCGTTCTTCAAGTAATAACTCATACCAGCGTTTAGACAAACAACAAAGACATTTACAAATTTAAGGTGGATGCATCTAGCGAATGTGTTAGATCGAGATTCACTTGGGAAGACATAACTGCAGGGACAATTTGTCTAGCATAAGCGACATACTTCTTACAATATTTGATTGGAACAGACAACAGACATGAACAGTCATGAGTGAGAAACTGTCAAAATTCAAGGAAACCTGGACATGCTTCTCCTTGGACTACAATGACAAAATAAAACAAGCGATGGGACAATTCAGGGTAAAGCAGATCAACGTTTTAAACAAAATTCA